GTACTATAAACTTTTACTTACAAGTATTTATGTAAACACAATTTTCTTTTATCTTGGTAAATACATAGGACGGTACTTGCCAGATTGTATCATAAAGATAGGTTTAACTGTATTGGCAGAACTGCTTTCCAAAGTGACTGTACAATTTTTCATTTCCACCAGCAATATATGAGAATTTCAGTTCCATGTTCTCAACAACACTTTTAAAAATAGCCATTCTAGAACTAGATGTACCATATGACCCAGCCATCCCATTACTGGGTATATACCCAAAGGATTATAAATTATGCTGCTATAAAGACACATGCACACGTATGTTTATTGCAGCACTATTCACAATAGCAAAGACTTGGAATCAACCCAGATGTCCATCAGTGACAGATTGGATTAAGAAAATGTGGCACATATACACCATGGAATACTATGCAGCCATAAAAAAGGATGAGTTTGTGTCCTTTGTAGGGACATGGATGCAGCTGGAAACCATCATTCTTAGCAAACTATCACAAGAACAGAAAACCAAACACCGCATGTTCTCACTCATAGGTGGGAACTGAACAATGAGATCACGTGGACTCAGGAAGGGGAACATCACACACCGGGGCCTATCATGTGGAGGGGGGAGGGGAGGGGATTGCATTGGGAGTTATACCTGAGGTAAATGACGAGTTGATGGGTGCAGCACACCAACATGGCACAAGTATACATATGTAACAAACCTGCACGTTATGCACATGTACCCTACAACTTAAAGTATAATAATAATAAATAAATTTAAAAAAAAAATAGCCATTCTGATAGATGTGTAATGGTATCTCATGATGGTTTTAATTTGCATTTTACAAGGACACCCAATGAAAGTCAGATTGGTTGGTGCCCCTGCCTCCACTCTTGTGAAATATTTTCAATGTCACACATGTATACCTTCCCACAATTTAAGGTAATGGGAAATATATTAAGACAATGTAAACCTTTCTTAAACATTACCCCGTTACAGTACTCAACTACTCATTTGTACTTCTATATTTGTGTGCATAACTTTTAATAGAAAAAATTACCATTATTTCCACACTGATTTTTTTTTCTTCTGGGAACATTATGTTTTTCCAACTAGACTTGAATCTTTAAAAAGACAGTAAATAAGTGATACCTATCTTAAACTTATGCTATCTAAGAGCCATATTCCACAAATGCTTGTGGAGTAAATTGAGAGCATTTAAGTCACAACTTGGTTCTGCCCTTCTCCAAGCTAAATATCACCAGCTACTGAGGGTCAAAACTGAACAGAAAAGATGACAGAGAAGGAAGTGCTAAGGGCATGAAATCATTTGAGAGTCTAAATGTGGATTGGATTGAACGCTAAAGAAAATTGAAGAGAAAATGCAAAGTAAAGTATATAAAGTAAATAAAATGGCACAGGCAAAAGGAAGGAACATTAGAAAAAATAAGCAGAGGGGATATTGAAAAATACAAGAAAAAGAATTAATCATATAACAAAGAGAGACCAAAAACCAGAAATACATGCCAAAAATACTTGTACATGAATATATTTATTTTTACTGATGATATTTAATTCTCTCAGTCTATAAGTTAGATAATTTAAAGTTAAATCAGCCCTCTGGACTGAATAATGTATTATTTTTGTATATTTGGGAGATAATGTTTGAACAAATCTTTTTCTTTTGTATTGGCGTATCTCCTGGACTTTTATTATAATGGAAAACATTAATATAGACTCAAAATAGTCAACACACTACCATGTAAATAAGACTAGGGAGAAGGTAGGGAAGACATGTTCTCCTGATAAAGATAATCTTCTCTTTGTAATTGCACCTCTTACTATGGTTTTAAGTATGACTAAGCACCAGGACAACCCATCCACTTCTCTGAACTTTGTGTATTCACCTCCCACTTAATATCTCTCTTTAGATGTTTGATAGCATCTAAGATTTTGTCATGGTCAAAACAAAATTATTTATATGTTCTCCAAGTTTTTCTAATTCCGGTTTCCTCCAACCCAGTCAATAACAATTCAACTTTTCCATTTACCAAAATCTGAGTATCATTATTCACATCTTTTTCTTACATTTTATTCCAATCCATCAGCAAATGCAATTGGCTGTACCTTCAAAATACACTTGGAATCCTACTGTAGTCAAACCCAACATCATCTCTCATCTGAATTATTGCAATGACCTTCTAACTGGTCTCCCTATTCCCATTCTTGTTCTCTGCAATGTATTGTTTACACACTAGCAAGAAGAATTCTTTTTAAAGGGTAAGAAAGATGGTATCATATTAGAATTTCCAAAAACTTCTAGTAACCTTCAGCTCCATTCATCCTGTAAGGCCAAACATGATCTTGTCCCTGCAACCTCTCTGGGAGTATTTCTTCCCAGTCTCTTTCTGACTCATTCTACTCTAGCCACATTGGCCTTCTGACTCTCTCCAAAGCACGTACGTTCTCTTCTTTGGGCCCTGGGACTTCTTCTTCTCCCTTTTTGAAATTTCTTCCTCCAGATATATGCATGCATCTGTCTATACATGCTTTCAATCTCTGCTCAAAGGACACCTTCCTTCTCAGAGAGATTTTTGCTGACCATTCTGCAGAAATAGCACCCTCCTCCTGTTTTTCTCCATTCAAATTATTATGCTTTACTTTTCTTTAGAGCACTTGCTACCCACCTAACATTTCATGTATCTGTTTGTTTATTTACCATCATCTCAATCCTTCCCCCTAGAGCATGACCTCCAGGTGGGATTTAGACTATTTTTTTCACTCTTAAATTCCCAGTGCCTGAAAGAATAAGTGGCTCATAGAATGTGCTAATATGTACTTGTTGAATGAATGACTGATTTAGAAGCCTGGAGCAGAGAACAAGTATATACACTTTATGTGCCAAAGTTATGTAAAGTGGTAGAGTGGGCATAAGAACCCAACATTCTGATTCTGAAGTAGTGCTTTAAATCACTCTTCTCTACTGAACCTGAGAGAGCTAGTGTAAGGATTAAAAGATGTAACCTAGGTCAATTTTCCATCCTCACACTTTATGTGCAGTAATTACTGAGTAAATGACAATTATCTACTTATCCCCAGGACTTCCTCAACTTTAGTCCCCCAATGGCTGGTAATAGAAGATAAAGTCTGTTAACAGTCATTGATTTTTAAATATCCAACTTGAAATCTACTTTGTACTTATCACAGAAGGGAATAAGTGATGTGACTGTCCCAAATTTTAAGTAAAATAGCTTTTTCCAGTTGCTCCCTATAAAATACATATAGTGTCCTGACCATCTAGAATCTGGTCAATTTGACCTCACTCATAAAATTCTAAATTAAAAAAGAGGGCAAAATGTAAGGAAGTGGGGGTAGAATGTACCAAGACTGTGTATAAATGCACTATCCCATATATATACATATTCTATGTATTCCTTAGAAAGATAGAATGCAGGTAAAAACTATTAAGTATGGATTGTTTATTTGTTTGAAAAGCAAACTTAAGATTTTTATGGCCTGACTTGAAGGTTAAACACAACTAGACCCAGGGTGATGTTGTCTTCACCTCTGCCCCTTCCCACAGTGTTCCACTACTATTCTCTTCCACACTTTTGAGTCTTTCATGGGGTCCAGTGAAGGTCAGCTGCTGCTGGACATCTGGCACTTGGTAGAAATAGTAACAATATGTAGATTGTAATAAGCAAGGCATTTTTTGAAGTAAAATTAAACTTACTGTACACAAATACTTGATCTACAACCAGCAAAACCCCAGATTCAAGCACCAGTTCTCTAAAGTGTTTGCAGAAACCCTAAGTGTGGTAGAGGTAATTCATTGGGTAGGCAGGAGAAAAAGATAATAATTTTTATTGTTGTGTAATAAACTAAGAAGGAAATGAAACTTCAATGACAATCTGCGTATTTACAGTAATTATATATACAATTTAGAAATAAAGCATATTGAAATGCAAAGTAAAATTATTTTACTGATAGCATTCCATAATAAGAAGATATTAGATTATATTATTATTCATTTTATTTTTCAGAATAACAACTTACCCCAAACTTAATGGTTTAAAGCAACACATAGTTTTATCACACAGTTCCATGAATCATGAGTCCTGGCATGGTTTACCTGTGTCCTGACCTGGAAGCTCCACTGGAAAAGAACGTGCTTCCAAGTTTACTTGAGCTTGTTGAAAGAGTTTATTTCCTTGTAGATATATGACTGATGACCTCAGGCCCCAGAAAACTTCCTGCCTGGTGGCCCTCTCCATGAGTAGTATGTAATATGGCTGTTTGCTTCTTCACAGCCAAAAAGAGAATCTCTCTGCCTCCAGTCTGTTAAGGCAAAGTATTACATAACAAAACAAAGTCACAGAAATTGACATCTTATCACCTTTACCATATTCTATGGTTTAGAAGCAAGTAATAGGTTTCACCTGCACTCAAGGAGGGGTCATTATTCAAGGCTCCTTGTGGGTCACCTTAGAGTATGTCTTCCATAGAGACCATCCTTCAAAAGAATATCTGAAGGCTGTCTCACTTCAAAACCTAAAGATTACTTTTAATTTTTTAAAAAACCTCGCTAAAACATGCCTTTCTTCCTGGAAAATGTATTAAATCAATGCAACTCAACTCTGATCACTTCCTACATTGGATTTCTTCAACATTGATGTGCTAAGTTCAGGCTGTATTACGTTGTACTTGTCAGTTGATGCTAACAAGTGTGTTTATTTTGTGTTCCTCCCATGTACATATACTTCAAGGACATAAATTTAGCTTTATCTCATAAATAATAACACTGCTATATTAAGATTGTCAGAGACGGTAATGTTTTTCATCCACCCTTCCTGTGTTCACTAGCACACTTATAGTGTGAAATGAGAAATTCCACATCTTGCAGAAAGCAAAATGAAGACTGAGGGGCTATGCAATGTAGTTGGAACACATAGCAGTGGTCACTGACATGGTAGGTATTAGACCTCAACATTTTCAATCCTTTATCCTTTGTTCATTCCATCAGATCATACTGTTTCCAATTAGCTAGGAGTTATCTTTAAAGACAGAAATGATCTTCAAAAAAAAAAAAAAAAAGAAATGAAAGCCTTGAGAACTCAATCAGCACTAAAATCTTCCTTCCAATGTTGCGTCTGGATGAATAATTCCATCCGAAGAGGTATGGCTCTTTTATTTTTAAATTTTAAAGGGGAAAAAGTAGATTACTTACTTTATTAAAAGTGTGCATTTAAGAGTCTAGCTCTTTTGGGCCAGAATTCTCAAAAGAGAATGGGAAATCAGGCTCAGTTTATAAGTCAGTTCTGTGTAGTTGCTCAAGACTCAGAAGCAACTATTTTTGGTTAATTAATTTTTTGTTTCAATCTAGTCTTAACAAGGTGAAATAAAATGTTTAGGTCATATATTCACAATTGAATCAATAACTCAATAGAGCCCACATTTTTGCACAATGAAAGCAAATTAATTAATTATATTCCATCAATTTCTTGGCTTTTGGGAAAAAAACTGATAAAAAATAGATTTTATGCTACAGATAATCATGGCTTGTAACATGCTAAGAGAAAAAAAATGCAAGAGTAATTTACTGAATGTGGTTCCTTTCCATGGACAAAAATAGATTATTATAAATGCTAAGAAAATGCTTTTTTGTTTTGTTTTGTTTTTTCCCAGTCTTGCTCTGTTGCCCAGGCTGGAGTGCAGTGGCGTGATCTCTGCTTACTGCTACCTCTACTTCCCTGGTTCAAGGGATTCTTATGCCTCAGCCTCCCGAGTAGCTGGGATTATAGACATGCACCAGCACGCCTGGCTAATTTTTGTATTTTTAGGGGAGACAGGGATTCATCATGCTGCTCAGGTTGGTCTCAAACTCCTGACCTCAAATGATCCGCCTGCCTCGGCCTCTCAAAGTGCTGGGATTACAGGCATGAGCCACCACACCCCACCTAGGAAAAAGCATTTCTAAGATTTAGTAAAATGTCCCTTTTACCAAGAAAAATGGTAACAATTCTACCATTGCTTCTATAAGAGATTCTCCTAGATCCTCACTCACTAAACTCTGATATCCACAAACTTCTGCTTCTTCTTCATCAACTGGCTTCTTTCCATAGCATGCAAGCAGCATGTTACAAGAGAGGCTATGGGAACATGGGGATGGTAGGAGTATTAGTACGTCTGCTCACTGACGAAACCATGATTCTTCATGTCTTCCTCTTGTGTAAATTACAGCAATACAAGATAACAGCAATACCTGCTTTTGTTAACAGGCAAATCGCTAACCTGCTGTTGCCACATTTGTGTCTCTTTTAAACCTTTTCATCATTTAAATTAAAATACAGCTAGGAATTAAAAGGGAAGTTTGCCATTTCTCGTTCGATCAGATATCCAAGAACAAAGTGAATCTTTTCAATATCATGAGGTTCGCATGGTGAACACTAAGAGATCTTTTCAGAAAAAGTGTTGGTTAAGTCCTTTGTCATATTATGAGTACATTTTAAAATAATATAAATGATCTTTAATCATGATTTAACATAGTTTTTAATAAATTCAAATGTATATTTGTTCCTCATTGAATTTTAATGTCAGAATTTTGTAAATGAAATCAGTATTTTTCTAATTGGTTCTCTGCTGATTTTTAAAAATCATCAACCCTATGATACATTTTGAGAGTTTAGTGTAGGGAGTACACACACACATTGCATTCTGTCATTTTTTAAGTCCCCTCTAATGAATTCTTAATTACATTATTCAAAAGATCCATTATTCAGCATTCATCTCACTGCGAAATGAAAGTCTTTACCTGACATGTGAATGAAATGAGTCTAAATGCTTTCCATGCCACCTAGGGATTCTGAATAGACTTTTAGCTTAACAGCAGCAATAGGCTTCATTTCTGCTTTAAATATGTGTGGATTGTTTTTAGAGATAGGTTAGCTATGCAATAGTCTACCAATCTGAGCAGCACTTAAATTCCATTTTGTTCTCAGACTTACCTTGAGACAGAAAAACTGCAAACAAGGTCAGATGATTGCTGAAGGTAGAAGAAATGCCATACATATACAAGATTTGATAACTGTAAAAGCCTTCAGATGCAAGTGTGCATCACCTACAACACTAACTTTAGATGAGGAGAGCAAACTTCCTAAGAGCTGCTTGTACATTTTCTCCTTTCTCATTGTGAAGAAAAAAGTGGAAGCAGCCAGAGAAACTCAGAGACCTTCAACTGATAACAAGATTTTTTCTTAATCACACTTCCATTGCTTTCAGCAGACTAATGCATAATACTGGTAGTAAGAAATTGTCTCAGGCTTTATGTGCCTTTTGTAGCCATGCCTAAAAATGAGCCATAGTTACTATTTATCAAGCAGCCCTCATATCTCCAAATGAGGCCCACAGAAGATATCTAACAAGAACATAAGCTGATGTGATAGTAATATATAATAGTCTGTATTCCAGAACTCAAAACAGTTCTACAGAATATAAGCAAAGCTGCTAGAGATATAGGTTTAGTGAAAGCCAAGTTCATCTTCTAAATAACATAAAGTAACAAACTCAGAATCTTTGCCCTGCCTGCCCCCAGTTTCAGGAGAGGAAATTATCAAAAGCATCTAACAAGATGGGCTTACCTTAAATTTTGTTTTTGTTTTGGCTTGGCTTGCTTTGGCTTGGTTTTCTAGAGTGTGTGAATTACTACTTGCTCTGTTAGGCTTGGGGGTGTGTCTATGTGCAACAAGTGACCAAGTGTAGCCCTATGTCACACATTCAGCTATGCATAGCTAAATGACTAAATTACTTCATGTAATTGCATCTAATGTTAAGTTAACAAAAACACTGAATCTCCAAGTCCAATTCAAAATATCATTTTTAGAGATAGCATAAGCTTATTAACTTATTTATTTCATGATTCAGTGTTCTCTCTTTACAGGAAGTAGGAAATATCCTTAGGCAAAAAAAAACTACATTTCTCTTCCACTATTGCTTTTATAACTGCCATTGTACCTAAAATTGGAGAAGAAATTTTTCTGCAACTGCTGCATAGAGTGAAGAAAGTAATAGGGAAACATCTTACCATAAAATTATTCCAAACACAGTAGGTTTGTTGTATCTTCAGGATAAAAAAAAATGCATTTTAATATTGCCATATTAAGTGAATATCTTGAAAACCAATGATAAATACACGCATTTTAAGTCAATGCCTTTGGATTTTTAAAGAATACAGAAAAAATGGCAGTCCACAATGCAATAACAATAGAGATGTGTCATAGAACTCGAATGTCATTAATTCAGTAGAAGTTATGAATAGGTGGAGACTTACCCTTTTCCCATTTTTGGTAAGTTTACGATTATTACATCAATGGAAGGTCCAATCTTAAATATATATCTGATCAGCCACAGGTGAAGCTTAAGGTGTGGCTTTCGAGTTGCTCTGACTCCCATCCCTGCTGTATTGGAAAGAAGAATGAAAAGATAAAACTTAGAATCAGTCCTATGAGTTGTAGTTCTTTCTAGGAGATAATGCCCATGATAATATACTTAAGGATTGGTTAATGAAACACCTGGCAATACTTCCTAGCTGCAAACAGACAAAAAAATAAGCAAATAAATAAATTAATATAAATCCATTATTTAAAATGCAAGTGAGATATCAGAGAAAAACTCATGTTAATCCACTCCTCTAATAGGCAATGTATGTGAGTGTAGCTCATGGGGACTTCAGTTTTCTCACTGCAAGGAGTGGGCCTCCCCTGCTGAAGATTTCTCCCCTGAACTCTAGCCCCAGCATTCAAAGCCCTCAAAGCTAAAGGGTAAGTCCACAAGTATGATAGAAGACTTCTTGATGTAAGTCAAACTAGAAAATTTGAAAAGTATTCTTTTTTGTTGTTGTTGCGTCACTGCCAGATTTCGGTATCAGGGTGATGCCGTCCCCTAGAATGAATTAGGGAGGAGTCCCTCCCCTTCAATTCTTTTGATAGTTTCAGCAGGAATGGTACCAGCTCTTCTTTGTACCTCTGGTAGAATTCAGCTATGAATCTCTCTGGTCCTGAGCTTTTCAAATGAGTCTAATCATAACAAACACATTTACATAAGGATGAAACCAGTGCAAAACTTACCAGAGCATCTGGGTACCCTTGGTTCCTGAGCCAAGGAAATAAAGATCAGCACAAATTCTATTTCTAAGATGGTGTTGCATGTGTTGGAAAAAAGTTCTGTGGTAAAAAATATGATTTTATATTTATCAGAGCCTTTTTCATTTTACAGAAGAAAACAGATCAGACTTCTCTCCCAGGGAAGGCATGGCCCCACAGCCTGGCTAGACTGTTTTATGTCTTGCTACCCGTATTCCAATGCAGGTGGAAAGTAGACCTTAAAATAAAAGAAGCAGACAAAGAACTTGCCAAGCTTCCACATACAACATATGCACATTTGTAGAAAATAAAAGGTATGTTTAGGGGGACAGTTGAGGCTGTTTAAGTTAAGAGTGCAGACGGAATGAGTAACCCCTTGCTTGACGTCTGGCAATTTACAAGGCTATGCACAGTTAGTTTTTCATCCGTAATGCAACAATCCATGTTTGTCTCTGATGCTGCCAGGGAAAATATACTCGTGCAGCCTAAGAAAAATATTTAAAAGTGAAAGAAACAACTATTTAATTATCTTGTTTTCTCTTACAGTTATAAAGACTGATGTTACTTAAAATCTCAAAAGTTCTTTCCCTGCTTTCCCTCAGAACCATTGTAAACATCAACTATTGTTTACAAGATGTAACCTATTACTTTGAAATATCATTTTGTTATTTTTAAATGAGGTAATTTGCAATTCCCTGTACCATCATAGGTGTCTCTTTCTGAGCCTCTTTGAAAAGGAAATTTATAAACTAATAACAGAGTGTGTTTTCTGTGTGACAATTTAATTTATTTTTAACAAATCGATGCTGCACTTTAACCTTCTGATTGTTTACCATTTATGTATCTATTAGACACCGAAACTGCATTATAGAGTATTTTAGCTCTCTACTGATAATGATAAACAGCAAGAAAGAAATGAAACTCCTTATAAAGGGCATTCATTCAACAAGTATAATTAATATTCTCTTCCCTTGTTAAAAATAATAGCTGTTTTCTGTTTGTTCCTTTTCATTTCAATTAAACTATCCTTAGTGTTTCACATACAGGAAGGCTTCCTTTTGTTCATTTTTTTTATTTTTGTCACAAGAAAGCAAGCATTGGAACTTCCTCCTAATCTAGTAGTATTGGCTATAACATGCTTGGATACAAGAACTAATAACAAAGCCCACTTTCTATTTTTTTTAGCAATTACTCAAACCATACATTCTTATATTCAAGGCATTTTTAAAAACTATTTCAAATAGGCTAAATACGTTAATTAAATGGTTCTCAAGATCGTTTCTCAATCCCATTCCCACCGCTCTGTGAAGCCCCAGAGGTCTTTTCAATTCCTCGAAAAGTTCTGCCATTGATTCTGAAATTATGAAATTATAAGACAGAAGTACGAGTTTCTCACAGTCATTAATGTGTTAAAGGAGATGTACACTAGAGGCGATCCTTAAAGTTTAAACTTAGAATTATTGATAGCTATAAAAGCACTGGCTCAAAACCACCTAACCTTCTTAGCTGGTTAAAAGAGTATAATCCTCTCAGTTATTAGAAGACCTTTGAAGTGAAACACAGAAACTCAGCCCTTCTGCCTGTTTTTAAAATTCTCCTTGACTATAGACTAAATCACAGGGCAGCGTGGGCTGAACCCTGTCTGTGCAGTGAGCAGCAGATTACTTTACTTGAACTTTGCTCCAGTCAGGACATTTTAAGGCTTATAAATCTTGAATCCATCTAAGTTCACCTTAAATTAGCCTTGCAAAAACACACTCCAAACTCCAGTTGTCAGCCTGGTGGCTTTTGGCCAGATGCCACTCGGCAGCCAAAACACTGATTAATTGTCATCTTCTCTTCTCTCTCTCTCTTTTTTATTTTTTGTCTTAGACACTATTTTTAAGGGGGAAAAAAAAGAATATGCAAACTAATTTGATTCGGGTAGCAGCTGTAGCTGAATAATGGTATTGTTAGCAGGTACATTTTATATTTAAAATTTATTTGATGAAAACAGAGAGCCAGGCAGCTTAGCTGTGTATATATATTCAATAATGCCATCTACTGCACAAGAAATCTGGGGCTGGGCCAAGAAGCCATGCCAAGATACAACAGATTTTTCAATTTTCCAGCAAATAGAAACAAAATACTGGTTTCAGAAGGTGTACTCAACAAACACTTCCCAATGTGTTTCTGATTTGCGGTCAGAATGTTTTTACTGCTGGTGCCCTGCACTTTTGAGACATTTATTTCCTAAAAGAAAGATTCCTTTCTATAAACCTCAACTGTCTGTTTTTCAAAGCAATTTAAAATCAAACACACAAATAAAATTCTTAACATATGGAAACCTTCATATAAGGCCTTACGTATTCAGAGTTAAAATTGTTTTATAAACTGTAATGCTTTGCAGATGAAAATACAGAAAGGATGACTGTTTTTAGCACTAATGCTTTTTGACAGCGTTAAACCTTGTTTTAGTAATTGACATCAAAATGTTTGGTGGTTTTAAATGGACTATTAATAAAAATGGCATGTTTTAAGTTTTTTAGAAATTGTGCTTAATACTGTGAAGTGGGATAAAATTGCAAATGTAATACGGTGCTTTTATTATAAAAAAAACTTTATAACAAAACAATCCTGATTCTTCTCCCATGTCTCCAGAGAAACTTCTGAAGCTCAAAGCAAGAAAATGTTTCCTCTTCATCCATCCTCAGATTCTCTGCTGAAATAGACCTTCCACAGATCCCAGTTTGGAAAAAGACAAAGCAAAATAAAACAAAATTAAAAAAAAAAAAAAAAAAACTAGCATCTTTTGCCATGAGTCCCTAGATGGCTGCTAAATTCAACTGGATCCCATGGCACCATGAAAATGTAGTTAAACATGTCTATTATGAACAGGGAAAAATAAATACTATTAGAAGATGTGAATTTTAGTGCCACTTCTGTCATAAATCATGTTGTATCCAGCAAGCCACCTAAAACTTTTCTGATATGAGAAGAGAAATAATAATATTTACTCTGCCAGTATGGAAAGACTATTGGGATGAGATTATGAAATACTCTGTAAAAATCTTGGTAATGAAGGCAAAATTATTTAATTTTATTTAAGGCATCAAGCATCTACCGAGCACCTATCAGCCCTTATCTACAATGCATGGAAGAGATGAAATGGATATGAACATGATGAAACTTACCCTTGTGGAAATGTTGAAGAATGAATTGAATGAAAGTAGAATATAGGCTGAAGTTCAATCTAGAGATTCATTTGGTTCATAGGGAAAAATAATGAGAAAAGAAATGAAGGAAGAAAATGGCACCGTGTGTTTCTGGAACTTGAAATGATCCAGCATTGCAGTTTGAAGATAGAGTAGTAAGCAGAAACAAATATGACTGAGTTTATGGTACATAAAGAAAGATTGTAAAAGATTGTCATTCATTTATTGATTCAACAAATATTTATTGAGTGCCTGTCATGAGCCTGGACTATACTAGTCAGTCAGTAAACAAAGGTGAAATAAAGACGTCTACTCCTTGACCTCCTCGTATTCGTATCTAGGACTGGAGACCTTGGAAATGATTGAATAGGAAATTCAAAAGATGTAGTTCAGGCCGGAAGTGGTGACTCATGCCTGTAATCCCAGCCCTTTGGGAGATCAAAGCGGGAGGATTGCTTGAGCCCAGGGGTTTGAAACTACACTGGGCAACATAACGAGACCCTAGTTCACATTTCCTAGAGACTACTCTGATGTCAGTGTGGGGGGTGGACTCCAGGGATGAGAAATGGAGATTGATGTTAGTACACAGGCCTTTCTTTCTCCTGCCTCTGCGTCCCTCTGTGCCCACTTTCTACGTCATTACTAAGCTCTTTATTATGTTGATAAAAATAATGGGAGAGATAAAACTGCCAAACTGGATAGCACAAGGATAATGGAGAGGATTTACTTTGGAAATGGACAGAACTATGAGGTATTTCTACAAAAGGTAGAGGGGGAGGTAGAAGAGTTAAGAACGACTGGCGTTTTTGTGTGTTTGTTTGTTGATTTTGGACAGAGTCTCGCTCTGTCGCCAGGCTGGAGTGCAGTGACACCATCTCAGCTCACTTCTGTAACCTCTGCCTCCTGGGTTCAAGTGATTCCCCTGCCTCAAATAGCTGGGACTACAGGCACCCACCACCATGCCCAGCTAGTTTTTTGTATTTTAATAGAGACAGGATGTCACCATGTTAGCCAGGTGGTCTCAATTTCCTGACCTCGTGATCCACCTGCCTCAGCCTCCCAACGTGCTGGGATTACAGGTGTGAGCTACTGTGCCCGGCCTGGCTTATGTTTTTAGAAGCATTTTAGGTTAGAGATTGAGATGTTAGAAGGAAGAAATTTTGAGATGAATAGCTGCTGTCCATGTAAAGGATATTGAGAATGGCAGAGATGAAAAAGAAATATTTAAATGGTATAAAGAAATGCAAATTTTGACCCTGATTTTTCTTGAAGTTTTAATAGAAAAACAGAGGAACATAGTGGAGACAATGCTGAGGCTGGAATTCTGATTTGGGGAGGAATGTAGACCTCAGGAATTGATGTTTCAGGCTGAGACCCAGACATTTGTGTTTGCTAACACAAAAAGAAGCATAAAAAATTTCCTTAGGAATTTATATCAGTCAACAAATACTGAGGAATTTTAGAGTACAGAGATCTCATTCTCAAGGAGACTACATTTTAATAGGGCTGGCATTTGTAACAATGTAACATGTTTTAAAAATTAAGATATAAATATAGTAGCTCAACCAGTCATTTCACAATGTACACGTATTTCAAAACATGTTGCACATGATAAATATGTATTTTTATTTGTCAATTAACATTTTTAAAATGTAAAACAATATAATTGACAAAAAATTTATACATTTATAGTAAACAATGTAATGTTTCAATATATGTATACATTGTGACATGGCTAAATCAAGCTAATAAGCCTATGCATTGTCTCACACACTTATTTTTTTGGTGAGAACATTTAAGATCTTAGCAATTTTCAAGTATACATTATTATTAATATTAACTATAGCCACCATACTGTATAATACATCTCCTGAACTTCTTCACCCTAACCAAAACTTCAAACCCTTTGCCCAACATCTCATCAGCCGTCCCTCACCCTGTTCTGTGGCAACCACCATTCTACTCTCTGCTTCTAGGAGTTCAACTTTTCTAGATTCCACATACAAATGAGGTCATGCAGTATATATCTCTCTGTGCCTGGCTTATTTCACTTAGTGTAATGTGCTCCAGTTTCATCCATATTGTTGCAAATGAGGATTCCCTTCATTTTTAAGCTGAATAGTATTCCATTTTGTAAATATGTCACATTTTCTTTGTCCATTCATCCATTGAGAGATTCTTAGTTTGACTCCATATCTTGGCTGCTGTGAACAATGCTGTAATGAATAAGGGATTGTAGATTATCTCTTCAACATAATGGTTTCTTTTTTATTATAATTTTTATTTCAGGTTCAGGGGGTACATGTGCAGGTTTGTTATTTAAGTTAGCTCGTATCATAGGTGCTTGGTGTACAGATTATTTTATTACCCAGGCAATAAACATAATACCCAATAGGCATTTTTCTGATTCTCTCCCTCCTCCCATCCTCCACCCTCAAGTGGAACTTAGTATCTGTTGTTCCGCTCTTTGTGCCTATGTGTTCTCATTATTCAGCTATCACTTATAAATAAGAAAATGCAGTATGTGGGATTTTTGTTCTTGTATTAGTTTGCTAAAGCAATGGCCTCCAGCTCCATCCATGTTGCTGCGAAGGACATGATCTCATTTGTTTTTTATGGCTCTGTAGTATTCCATGATGTATATGTGCCACATTTTCTTTAGTTTACTGTTGATGGGCATTTAGATTGATTTTATTTCTTTTCTTTTTCTTTCTTTCTTTCTTTCTTTCTTTCTTTCTTTCTTTCTTTCTTTCTTTTTTTTTTTTATTCTTTTTGAGATGGAGTCTTGCTCTGTCGCCCAAGCTGGAGTGCAGTGGCGTGATCTCTGCTCCCTGCAAGCTCTGCCTCCCAGGTTCATGCCATTCTCCTGCCTCTATTCTATTTCTTTATTATTGTGAATAGTGCCACAATAAATATATATTAGTAGCATAAAATGTGTCTTTATGGTACAACATACTGATTTCATTTCCTTTGTATGTATAACCAGAAATGGGATTGTTAAAGTGGTAGTTCTAGTTTTAATTTTTTGAGGAAACTCCATAATAGATGCGCTAATTTACATTCCCATCAACCGTACACAAGAGTTCTCTTTTCTTCACATCCTCACCAACATTTGGTATCTTTTGTCTTTTTGATAACAGCCATTCTAACAGCTGTGAGGTGATATCTCTTGCTGCTATATAAGTAAGTCATGGTACAGGGAGAAGGGTATTGTAAAGACCGACCAACCAGTTGGGAGGACAATGGTGCAGTCCAATCTACTGGTGGCTTGGGAAGATGTGTGTGTTTGAAGGGAGAGAGGGTGGGTATGAGGTAGGAGGTCAAGAGTTTTGTGTTGGTCATGATAAATTGATCATGACCTGTTAGATATTAATATAAGAAGAACAAAATGTTTACTTGGGAAAGATCTGGGTGAGAGGTGTAAATGTGAACTTCATCAAAACAAAGATATTATTTGAAGCCAAGACTGTAGAAAGAGAAATGAAAAAGGTAAAGAACAGAGACCTGAAAAATTCTGACATTGAAAAGTCTGGTATAGAAGGGAAAACAAGGAAAGGAAATTGAGGAAAAGTCACCTTGCGTAGAAGATGGATTAAGAGTAAAGGAGTAGTCAAATAGTTTATATACTGGTGAAAGGTCATAAAAATAAAAGCTAAAAGTTATTATTGGCTTATCAAGATGAAGACAATTGATGACTTTGACAAAATTCACTTCGTACTGTGATGGGGACGACTGAACTGAGGATGGAAGGAGTTGAAGTAGCGGCAGTGCAAAGAGACTCTCTGCCAGCCACTCTATCAATTACACAGATTTTACTCTACTCAAAGGGATATTCTTCCACTCATACACACCCTGAATGCCATTTCTTCTCCCTTTCTCTTGGAATTTGCCTCTATAATATTTCTCTCTCAGCCCCGAAACATTAATTTCTCATTCATGCAATTAAATCTTCCTAATTAAGCCAGTATAATATGGCTTAATTTTCACTTACCTTAAAAATATTTCCCTTAATGGTTATTTTTTTTATTCCAATGACTGCCCTAGTTTTCTGCTGTTTTTTTTTTTCTGTCCAAATAACAAGATGAAAATTGGGTTTTAACCCACATCAAATTTATCAAGAAATTAGACTTATCCTTAGAAAGAGGGCAGAAACATAATCCCCTGGCGGATTTTGTGCCTACCATGGGTCAGGTAGGCTGCAGAACAACTGGAATAGATTAATTGCCAGCATACACACAGGATCAGGAATTCACAGGGATCACCATTCCAGGATTAGAGAAGAATCAGTTTGCCTCATGATTGGAACATGCTGCTGAAATTCTACAGAAGTGGCAGGCATCAGATGCAGAGAAATGCTGAGTACTGAAGTCAGAATCCAAAGACCCAGTACTAGAGAAAATTCATGGATTCAAGACCACCAGGATCTCCATCATGGTGACTGACTGTTTTGTAGTGGTTAAAAAGCAGAGCAGAGAATATCTGAAACTCATCTGTTAAATGCCTCATTGTGCACAAATGAACAAAGAATACTCCCTCACATTAAAAAAAAAAAAATCAGATTTGAGAGATAGCCATTACAGTCCACACAACCGAAATTCAGAATAATTTGGAGTTGGCACTTTTGTGAGGATTTGTAGTAAAAAATTAGAGAGTCTTATCTGTCATCTTAAAACAGAGGGACCCTTACTTTTCTCACTATTGGTAAAGTTAACTAATCAGACCTAGGGAGGAAGAAAGACAACCATGGTGCCCTCAAGAATGGAAATTGAGTTCATGAAGTGCTGCAGGTAAAGGTGAGCCTCCTGAAATCAGCCCTTCAGCAGGAGAGTTCCTAGTAAGTACACAGATAATCAGGTTTCCCACTCTCTGCCAGGAAATCTCCTAAAACCAACTTAGATCAAGTCTGGAGAACGAGCCTACCAATTTTCTTCTAGTGTAGCAAGAAGGATCATAAACAGGATAGCAATGACCACTAATCGATCTCTGGTCCTTTGCAGATACCAGAAGAGGTGGAGGTGGTACATATTTACAACATTTGTTATAGAAAATGAGACACAACTTGACAGAAGTAATGTTATTTGACCCAACAGGAGGGGGAAAGCAGAATTTGTGTGGAGAGTAAGATGCTGATGTTTGGACATGCAGAGAAGAAGAGTTTCCATATAGCAGGAAAAGGTACCATTAATTCTCCTTTTTGTTGTTGTTGTTTTTGAGGTGGAATCTCACTCTTGTCACCCAGGCTGGAGTGCAGTGACGTGATCTCGACTTACTACAACCTCTGCCTCCTGGGTTCAAGTGATTCTCCTACCTCAGCCTCCAG